TTTGCCTGTGGTGGTAATTGGTGAGTGATGGCTCCCTGTCCTTATCTCAACCCAGGAACTTTTCATTGTATTTTCTCTCCCCTATCCAGCTGAGGAGGGGAGTGATAGAGTGGCTTTGGTGGGTGTCTGGCATCCAGCCAGGGTCAACCCATCACAACAAACTAAGCTGTTGTTTAAGTACTTCATTTCCAAACTCATTCTCTAATTCACAAATCACTTTAGGACATTTTTTCTTCACACTGCAACTTCTCGGTATTCATTATAATATAAAAAACATGATATTGAGTTTCAGTCTTACTAAAGTCACTTAAAGCTGCAGTTGTCTCAGTACTAATCTTGATTCTTGCAATTGCTTGACTAGATCAAAACACAGAAGTAATAATGCTAATGATAATTTGGTAGAGAATTGGCATGGAGGGACATTCTCAGCAGAATAAAAAGATGTATCTCATATAGTTTGTTTGAAATAGAAAACTTCACTTGACCAAATGAAATCTTCCAGTTAATTTTCTTTTAGCCTTTCACAATTAATCTTTTTAGGCATATTTCAAAATGCCATTTCTAGTTACATTCAGCTGTTATTATTTGAACTTCCACATAAATTTTGGACTTAAATATCTTGGCAAAGCAATCAAAGAAAGGTACAGCTTTTCTTCTTGCTAATTTTTGTTACATTCTTCTAATAAATCCACATTACATGAGTCTTTTTGTTACAGATTGGCAACAAAAGAGAAATCTTTGTAATACTATTTTCTCCAGTCATTTTTGCTAAGCTGTAACATGATAGACTTGACATGCAAACAAGGTTGTATTGTGTTTGGTATTTTATGAGCTTGTATTGTATTTCGTATTTTACTCAATGTGACTAGCTCAGCATATGTAGCCATCGATTAAATTCTTGTTCAGTGGACCTGAAGTAGCATAGAATACAAGATCATTTATGTTAAAAATTATTATCTAATAATCACTTACCACTAGGTTCCACTAGAATTTTAGCTTAGAATTCCTGTACTAAAAGCCACCATAACAAGTCATCTATGCATTACTTAGAAGCATTTGAGAAATAATTCGTCCTTCTTACTGGTTTCATTCATTAGCCTGAAATATTCCTCCTAGGACTTTGCACAGACACTCATTTTCACCCTGAAACAGCTAATTCTTTATGTGATTTAGTTGCTGTTGTGTCTTTTTTTAATTATTATTGTGTTTCATGATAAGGTTTTGTGATAGCTTAAATGAGCATTCTGCCCATCACATCTCTTGAGAAAATCTGCGTGTGATATTTATTCTAGATACCACCCAAAGAAAAAGGGCTTTTTTTTTTTTTTCCCGATTTTGATTTTCAACCCTTCCAAGCTCAGATTCTTTTCCATTGTGACATGTTGGGATCCCAGTTTGGTTGAGATGCTTAGTAGCTTCTGTAATGTTATTATTAATACTATAGAATAAGAATGAAGACCAGATTAGTACACTATATGGGTAGAAGAGGGAAAGTATTCAATACATTGGAAGATTTTGAGAGGATGTCTATATTGTGCACTGTTCTGCCTTGTAGAGAGATACCCAAGCTACCTGTAGTTCTCTAGGCATGGCAGTGGAGATGAGCACAGACTAATTTGTCCTGCTTAACCTCTAGACTGCTGGTATCCAAAACACCTCCTTTTCAACATTATAATGCAGTGTATATTGTCAGAAAAATAATTTAAATAAACCTGTTACCTAAGTAACTATAATACTTCGCTTCCATCATTAAACAGGAATTACTGGCTCACATTTCATCCAGAGCTGACCTCCCAGTATACCTAGTACGTGTGCATTTAATTCTGTCTTCCTTTTTTTTTTTTTTTTTTTTTTTTGTTGGAGTCATCTAATTACTTGAAAAAGTCCCGTGAAATGAAAGTAGTAACTCCAGGCAGTAACAGGATGACATTTCACAACGTATCTTGTTACTGTCGTAAAGTTGCTGATGAACCACAGAAATGTGCACTTGAAAACAAAGCAAGTTACTGGTACAGTCTGATGCATTTGCTGTCGCATTTTGATATTATAAATAAAAATTCATTGTGTTTTTAATATATGTACAGACTGATCAGATTTTCAGCCTAAAAGGAAGAATACAATATTGCTCATCAAGGTTTTGTGTTGATGGGGAATCAGATGGTCTTTTTCTCCAAGAAAACCTTAATACAAGACAGTTTGATGTATAAGAGAGATAGCTATTGATGCAGGTTTTCTAATCATTTATCAAGAACTCATATTCAATATAATATTATTTTATTAAACTTGTAGTGATGGATAACACAAGTCTTTCTATTACCTGTCATCATATGTTTGCTAAAGCTTGTGGAGCCAATACTTTATCAGGTGTTAGCAATAAGACTTATTACTGTAGCACAGGAAGAAATATGACTGTGCTTGCAGGACTGAAGGAGGCTTTATTACCATGCATGACAATGAAGTATAATTTGGGTGTGTGTTTTTGGTCATGACTTTATGGCCTGACCGAGCTTCCACTGAAACTGATAACGGAGTAGGGTAGTCCTCATAGATGAGGAAAATGAAGTTAACATACCTGTGTTGGTGTCCCTCATGGGAGTATCTGGCCCATTAAATTAGAAAGTCTGCAGAGTGTTGCCCTCTGCCAAACTGGAGGGTTTTAAGACTTTTCTCTGATGAAGAATGTGCAGAATATGGTCTTTGGGTTACAGTAATAAGGAGCTAGGAGGCAAAGTTAGTGCATCACTGCTATGAGCCTGATGGTTAATAAAAGGTTTTGCTTATCTTGGACAAGCTTCAATGAAGAAGACAGTGAAAACTTAAATGGAAATAAAGTGAGGATAACACAAGAGTTACTGAGTGCTATTTTTGTTGTTTTTAAGATTTAGACTTTTCCAGACCAAAATTTTATAACTGAATTTCTGAGCTACATAAAATACACTTTTCTGCTTTTATTGATTCCTTCTTTTCTTCTTTGACTCAGTTGATTGGACCCTAAATGTTCCACTCTTGTCTACAGACAGCCTTTCTTGTAGTTGCCTTGAAGTGTTTTGTGAGCTGTTTACTTAGGTGATAAATACTGTTGCTGCCTGTAAAGAATGAGCTTAATTTTTGTGTTGCTTTCTCCTAGCTGGTATGGTAGATTTCTACACTATGAACTTCTGGCAATGTAGAATAACAAGCTCATTTTCCAGTTTTAATTTAGAGGGTTTCAGAGACACTTCTGATGTGTTCTTGCAATGTATTGAGCATGCTCATATTGGTCCAACAAAATACCAATGCTATTAAGCTTTGCTGAGATTCAGTCTCCTAAAAATAAGCAGTTATTTCAGTGGCTTGGAACCAAAGCACTGTAGTAATATTGGCGGAGACATCCCTTCAAGATTGTAATTGACTTTGGATTTGAGTATAGAGTGTGCTGCTTTATGTCGGAGCATACTATATGTGGCATGACAAATTTATTTTTCTTTTATTTTGTTTTCTTTTCATTTCTCTTCTTTTCTCTGCTTTGTTTATTATAAAAACCAGGCTCAGGTTGAAGCTAAGAAGGAACATGAAGGAGCAGTTCAATTGCTAGAGGTAAGATATCCTTTGTGTTACCTTTGCTATCCATTCTAAATGTGATAACTTTACAGTATCATCACTTTTGAAAACTTCAAGTAGTATGTAGGCAAATAGGTTTTTTTTTTCCCCTCTTCTAATATAATTGCATCCTTTAAAGATTATAATTCAATTAGGAGTGCATTAAGCTGAGCTGTTGGTACTGATGTACCTCAGTTTCTCTTTGTATAGAATGGAAATTTTGGTACAGTTTTTTGTAAAATACTATCAGATGTATAAAAAGGAAGTGATTAGTTGTGAGAAATATTATTGTTTAGGCTGGAAATATAGCTGCAAATACCAATCAATTACCTAAGGTTCCTATTTAAATACTGTCTAGTAAAAAAGCAAGATGCTAAAGAGTCCAAATTTTTAAACATAATGAAACAATTTGGATACTTCAAAAAACCTTCAAAGGGTGTGGTTGAGAGAGAACACTTCATTCTTTTTACTGGAAAACAGATCTTTTTAAGGTAGTCTGAACTGGGTGTTTGAAAATCAAGGGCACCAGAAACATATTCAAATTTTTAATTAGAAACATAGAATAATTCTGTTTGGAAGGGACCTCTGGCTATCTGGTCCAACTCCCTGCTCAAAGAAGGGCCCTCTTCAAAATTACTGTAAGTTGCTCAAGGCTTTGCCCAGTCCATTTTTAAGTATCACTGGGAATGGAGATAGGATAACCGCCATGGGCAGTCTCTTTCAGTCTTTGAGCACTTTCATTATAAAGAATGTTATTCTTGTATCCTGTCAGAATTTTTCTCTGGATGCTACCAATGTCCATTGCCTCTAATCATATCACTGTTTATGACCAGCAGTGGCGTTTCTTAGCATTTCCCAACTATGCTACAATATGTTTTTAGAATTTGCCAGTCACTATTGGATTTAGTACGTAAATGCTGCTAAATTAATTAAGCTTTGAGAGATGATTCAGATGATCTGATTTACCAGCTTTTAAGGCACTAAATACCTGCACATACTGACACGATCCATAAAGGCAGCATCATCCATAAAGATATATCAAAAAACCTAGTATTTTCATTAGCAATTGCTCATAGCAATTATGACCTTGGCACAGGACATTACCTGTAAATTCATTAGTAGTTGTGTTTATGGACTTTGCATAGCATTTCAAGTCTTCCTTTGAGTCATTAATTGTAAAAAAAAAAAAAAAAAAAAAAAAAAAATCCAGTAGTTTAGTCTTCTGTGCCTAAGGATACAGAATTTGCTTGTGTCTTGTATAGGAGCGACATGAAGAATAGGAGCAAATCCTTACTCCTATTCAAAAACCATAAGCTTTGCTGTCAGTTTTAGTTGGAATAGGGCAAGGTTTGCAAATCCTCTTTGTCTTAGGCTGGAGAGAAAATTTTTGGAGATTGTAAACTGGGACTGTTATAATAATGAAACCTTTATAATGGATACATACACTTATGGTTGAATTACATATGAAAACACCAAAAATCAAAGGAGAGTTGAAATAAACTAATACACTCAAGTATCTGCCTTGTGCTGATAAAACCTTTTACTCCCTTTGCTGTCTGCTGTTTAGAAATGCAGACTGACACACAGTGTTGTGCAAGACAGGACAAATGACAACAATATGTAGCAGAAATTAGTTCCTAACGCAAACAATTTCTCCCCAGTTTTTCAAAACTAGGCTCACAGATTTAAGTTCCAGTCATATTATTTGATGTAAATGCATAAGGTAAAGTGTCAGAAAATACAGGTGCACAAGCAAATAGCACACTAACTGCTTCTAGACTTCCTTTTCCTCTTTTTTGTTCTTCATTTTTTCATGTAAAATAGTTTTTTGTTGATAACTACCAAACTAGTTTTTCTGCCTGAGGAAAAGAAAAGGCATTAAATGGTTATTAAGTCTTAACATAACGTCCGTATCATAAAGAACACGCGATACCATAGATTGATTACAGCAAGTTCATTGTCAAGATTTCATTTAGAAATCTGTTTTTAGCAGAAGGTAATTTCTAGTCTTTTTACCTTCCAGCAGTAGTTTTTCTGTCTGTGTACTTACTGGTCATGCACTAATGGAAGGTGGTTTTTGTCGTGCATTGATCATCTTTTAAAAATCTTATTTTGTTTATTTGTATCTATAAAAGTTAATAGTCCCACGGAACATGTTTTACTCATAGGCTTTCATTATCATCATATATATAAAGTTTGGTTTGCCTTTAAGAATATAAGATTAAATTATTATTTAATGCTTGCTGGAAAGTATATGATGCGGGAAAACATAAGTAGAAACAAAGTAGGCAAGTGATTATTTACCCTCCTGAAGCTAATCAAAATTCCTACTTATCTGATTTGTCGGTGACCTCTGATTTGCATAACCCTATCAATGTTTCCTAAGCTTTTGCTTTTTATTGCCATAAACCCATTAATTTTTAGCGTTTTATTTAATCTGCCTTTTGCAATTTAAGATCAGCAGTGGTACTGATTTCTGAAATGTTCTATAGCGTCGTTTGCGTTAATGCATGTGTTTACGTGTGTTAACTGTTCTAATATATTTTGCTTTGAAATGTAAAAAAAGTGTTCAAAACTGGTTTTATTTCTTTGTTTATTTCACATCTCTTTGTTTACTGTGTCTTGTTTGGAATTTATTGCTTTGCACTTCATCCAGAACACCTTGGACAGCATGCAGGTATTTTAGGGCATAAATTCTCCTTTCCCTGTCCTGAACCCTGCACTTTTCCCTTTAAAATGAGTATGATAGTCCTGTCTAACCTTGCATGGGACGCGTTCTAGAACCATTGTTGTGCAAGCATGCTTGGCATTTATTGGCCTAATACCAAATCACCAAAATCAGAATTTTTTTCTGCAAGAAATTAATCTTCAAATATGGCATGATTTAATGAGAATGCAGATACTATTTTTGAAAGTTAATTTCTTATGAGCATGCCCAGTAAGAATGGTTTGGTAGTTTATTCAAGATTGTAGCTTTCTGACTGTGTGGATTTTGTCTGAATTCAGATTGTTTCTTTGTTATTACAGAGATAATTTTTTGTGATATTTTCACCTGAGGCTGATTTATTGGTCCACCTACTGAAAGCCATTGCTGCTACGTAAACTGTCAAACTATGAAATGATATCTCCATAGCAGAATATGTGAGCTAATTACTAGTCTGAATTCAAGCCTGTCCACCTGGAAAGTTGCTCATCATCTTATCTGTCTTGTGCGAACAGTATCTGTCTTGTAATGGATGAAGTCCCCTTCATTTTCCATTTAAGAAAGTTTTAGAAATAGTACTGTGTATTGTATAAGAAACTTGGCAAGTCCTAAGTGATAGGCATTCAATATGGTCTGCAGTAAAGAACGTCTTTTCATACCACCACTCTTATAGGCAGATCCAGTTTTAGGGAGATCTGGCAGACTTGGCACTTCTGTTCCATCCTTACTAGGAATAAGCTGTATGGGCAGAACCATGATACAGAATAAAAATTTAGTACTTCTGAGAGTGTAAGCACATGCCTTGCTATGCAGTGACATACAATAATACATAGATTTTCCACAGTGAGGGGAGTCTGGCTGGCTAATGATGAACCAAGCACCTGACTGAAGTCAAGAAATAGATGGGTATGGGAATGCCTCCTGTTAGCACTATTGTGTATCTTACAGCAATTTTTTCTTTATATAATGCCAGCTTTGTGCTCACTTCTAACTCACAACTTTGATTAAAAAAAAAAAGTAGTAAAGGCATTTTTCTTCCAGGCTTCGTACTGTCATGAGAGAACAACTAGAAGGTTCTAGATACTCAAAACAAAAGTCATAGAAAGCATATACTGAAATGCAGATAAGTTTTAAATTAATAAATAGTAATAATACCTTAAATTATTTTTTAAAAAATATTTTTAAGACAGCCTTAACAGCTTGTTGTGGTCGGGTTTGTGATTTTTTTGTTTTTATTTTATGCTAGAGTTTCCATAACTGCATGTGGAAATGCCAGTATGTATTCTTAGAGAACTGAATAGCTCATCCTTAAAGTTTACACTGGAAAGAGCAGATCTAAAAACCCTAACTAGTTTACTACTTTGTTTGTTTAATGTTCTTTTAAAATTGTACATAGATGCTTTATCATGCAGCAAATTAACAAGTAGCCAAGGTTCACATTTCAGTTGCTCAAAACCACAGTGAAAAGATGAAAGACCAAAAACAAAAATCAAAGCATTTAACGGTTGTGTAAAACTCCCACAATGTCTCTGTATCTTATTGTTTTCTGTTTCACAATGAGTCAGATAGATGTCTTGAGACTTCTTTAGCAGCACTAAATTAATTTGTGTTTTATGAATACAAAGAAATTATATCCTCAAAATTCACTGTAGCTTTAAGAATGTATTTGTTACCAAAAAAAGGAAGAAACAGTACCACCTTCTGTAGTAGGAAATTTGGGGGGTTTTGTGTTCTGGGGACTATAAGTGTTTTGTTTGTCTTTAGCTGTGCTAAGATCTTTGTATAGGTGGTATATAATATATGTCATTTTCTTGATATGCAATATACACATGAGAACTGCATATGAACTGAGAACATTTTTCTGTTTCAAGAAAAAGAAACCTTTGGTAAAGTTGAATGAATCTAATTGATATCCAGACATCCTTTGTTAGTATGGTTGTGTAACTAGGCATATACTGTAAAGGTGTTTTTAATGGAGGAAAGTGATCTTTGTTCATCGTAAAGCATCAGATTGGGATATAATGCATTAGCGTCTCATGTAAGGAGCCCATTACTGCCTCTGTTGAGCTGCTTCTGCTTGCAGCATTTGGGTCGCAGCACATAAGACGTAAATGCTCCCTAGGTCTCAAATGGCACTCTTTCTCTGGCACATTTCCAGAGCACAGACTAACTGTTTGCCCCGGTGTGGAAAACAGACCTCACAAATTAAATTCTCAGGAGCTTTGCTGATTCTTCAATCTTTGCAACACATGTTAATATGGTCTTTCCTAACTCTCTGGGCACTCTAAATTTGTGGGTTTTTTTCTTCAGGAATATCTGATATTGTGTTCAAACAGATATACAGGCTGTTTATAAATGCAGGTTGAAATTGAAATGCATTATATTGAAAACACTGTTATATCCTTAACTTAGATGATACAATGAATGTGCAGATTTGGATAAAAGGTTTTTTTCATGATTTAGTGTCTTCACTACTCTTATATATGTTTTTGAGTAAAAGTTGCAGAGAAATCCTGGATTCCCATGCCCTTTGTCATTCCTTTCAGCCAGGGAATCTTTCCTTTCCATAGCCTCATCCATTTTTTCACATCAGGAATTCATAAACTGTATGTAGGGAAATTTTCCAAGTCAGCACAGAAGCTTATCTTTTAAATTCTGTTTTGTTAAAGCCTGATGCCTCAAAATTAAAAACGTATGCCAGCAATGACATTTTGGTACTTCTCACAAGCTTACAAACAGTCTCCTCTTGGCCAATGTCTGGGTTACGTCTGTGTGATTTGGCATCTATAGTGAGGAGCATTATTTTTGAAAGGGAATTCGGCCAGTAGCTAGGCCCGCATTCTGCATGAACCACTGTGGGGTTTTGTTGTTGTTGTTTTTTGATACATAAATGTTAATCTAGCAATTCAGGAGGCTTCAACTGAGGGCAAACCTCAGAAATATACCTGAATTTTAAAAAAAGTTAGAAAAGCACACAGAATTATCATTCAGGTGTGTTTAGAAGTCACAAAGCTGTAGGGTCTGTTTGCAAGTGTTCTTGGCAGTGATTTTTTTAGTGCTGCCAAAAAACATGATGAGGAATTTCCCCTTTGGAAATTGGGGATGAAAAGACTACTTACCTCAATATTACAGGGCTACTAAAGGTTTTGTTCTAAATATGGGTGAGAATTTAGGGGGAGAAAAGTGTGATTGTGGGCCTGCTTATCCTAAGTAGTTTGCCTATCCTGGCTTCCTGGTACTTTAGAAAAATCTGATGCAGTCACAGCTCACTCTGATCTCAGTCAAATGTCTCTGTTATATTTTGCTTGTGCAGGCCAAGGTCCGAGAGCTAGAGGAGAAATGCCGGACACAGAGTGAACAATTTAACCTCTTATCCAGAGAACTGGAGAAGTTTCGACAGCAAGCAGGGAAGATTGATCTCCTGAGCAGTAACTCAGTGGCATCCTCAGATATCCCTGGTTCTCCTGGTAAATCTCTATCACAGTTAATGAATGGAATAGCCACTTCTATAGGCAAAGGTAAAGACCAGCATTTTATTTGTAGGTATCTGTTCTGCCCTGTAGGTTTTAAGATGCAACTCAGTGATGTACAAGTTGTGCCAGGGGACATTCAGGCTGGATATTGGGAAGAATTTCTTCACTGTAAGAGTCGTTAGGCATTGTAATGGGCTCCCCAGGGAGGTAGTGGAGTCACCATCCCTGGAGGTGTTCAAAAAACGTTTAGATGTGGCGCTTCAAGACATGGTTTAGTGGGTTTAGAGGGCATGGTGGCATCAGGTATATGGTTGGACTTGATGATCTTTGAGGTCTCTTCCAACCATGATTCTATAATTCTATGATTCTATGTAAAAAGAGTTTGATTGTACAAATGGAGGATAGAATTCACTCCTGTTCCTGCTTTGTGACTATTTTAAATTTCAGAATATTTCTTAAGTGTTCACTGAGGTTGTTCCAGTTTTATTCAGGCACTGCTGTGAGCAGAATTCTCTCTAATTGTTGTTGGGTATAGCGGTGAGAAACCTGTTCAATGTTAAAATGATGTATTCCTTATGTAAATATCTACTTCTGTTGGAAGAAAGACTGTCTGCATATACAGGCTTTGTTGTAAAACCTTCACTGTTTTAGGGACAGGAGTAGATCTGCTATCTTGTTGAAGCAGCAGTTCATGGGGAAAGGAAGCACAGAGACGCCCACACTGCATTAGCCATTACATAAAAGAAGAACTGGGTAGAAAATGGGAAAACTGGATGGAATATTTTGACAAACATGAAAATGGTTTTGGTTTAGTTGCATTTGTTCAACAGAAAATACGCACTTCTTCATAAAAACTTGAAAGTAAAAAGTTAAAAAAAAATTCAGTGAAAGCAAACACTGTTTACAAAACCACAAATTCTGTCACAAAGTGATTTTGGTTGGAAAGGAGTTTCATGGGATATATTTTAACAGAACTGAATAGGGATAGTATCTACAGTTGCTTACTAAACTGTGAACAGGTGTGTTTAAAATTTTAACTGTGTTTAAAATAGTATTTGAACATGTAACTGCCAGGTGTTTTAGAAACAAAAAGTCACAACAAAAATATTGTTGATTTGAGCTTTAAAAGAAATGGAGAATGTAAAGTAAAAAAAAAAAATAAATTAATTTGCATCTGTATTGGTGTTCTTACACTTATAGTGCCTAGTATCTTAAACACAGTATGTGTTTTTCCAAGATCTGTGATAAACTTTCGCCAGGTCATCTCCTGTTGCCAGAGGTAGCTGCTCCTCCTAAGTATACAACTTTGCTAGTGATTCATTATTCCTAGGAAAATTGCAAAGATCAAGGCAAGAGGTTACCTGAGGACACTTGAAAGTAACTTGCATGTAAATAGCACGTTAGATTGTGTATTATAACTATGTTGTTATCAAGGCGGAGGAGTGTGCTCACCAGCTCAGTATCACCGATGCTAGAATGGCTTTAACTACTTGTTCTGCAAAGGAATGGATTTCCATTACTTACAAATTCCCCCAATGTCGTTTTAAAATGAGTATGAGGAGGAACTGGAAAAATTAAATAGTCTTGACTTTTTATTTCATCTTCCTAAGCTTCCAGAAAAATTCTGAGGCATGGCGCCTAGAAATCACAAATCATTTCCCTATCGTTACAGATGAGCAGTTATTTTCAGTGAAGGGTGCTAAACTCAATGTGAAACCAAGTCAGAAGGAACCAAGGTGACATCCTTCTTTCATTTCACTTCAGTAACTTTGTACTTTGTATGCCTTGGGTTTTAGAACACAAAATTTGAGCTGTTTGCAGTCTTGCCCACTGTGATGCATATTAGTTTATAGGCTTTTCTGGAGCTGCAAGTCTTACCTAAGTGGATATTAAAGTGTACTAAATGAAGAATTCAGAAGGCATTACCTGATAGCCATAAGAATTTACTAGAAATTTCCTTAATATCAGGATTAGCTCCTCGTGTCTCTAAGGACAGGATTTTCAGAGCAACAATTAACTTTAAATAAAAAGTAATTAGGTATTGAAATGTCCTGTAGGTAGCTAGTGAAAGTCCAGTCTGTATCTCTGAAATTGATCTAAATAGGCCCCGATCCTCAAATAAAAATCGACTAAACTTTTTGAGGTCCTCAGTGAAATTCTCCAAACTAACTTACATTTATTCTTGAAATACTAATGGAAACAGCTTTTAAAAAAACCTTCAAAACATAACAAATAGAAATCTTCCAAGAAGTCTTTGACTAAAAACACGGAAAACACAGCTAGGTCTGTACTGAAGTCATTTAAAGGCCTTGCTCTGTAAACCTTTTCTCATAACCTATTGATTTTTATGCAACTTAGAATTCAAGGCCTGCAGCACTGGTGTATAAACATCAGAAATCCTTGGACAATATTCATTCTCAGTATGAATCCACTGATAACAATAAAGTAATGTTTGAGCAAGTGGGCAGGATTTCTAATTATTGAAATCAACCATTTCGCAATAATGATGGTAATGCTACAAGTTCTTCAAACCAGAAGTGTAATTATTTTTATTATGTGTGAGGAAGATAGAACACAAGAGGGAACACAAGGACAGCTTTCAAAGCAAAGCAAATGACGGAAATGAGATCAGTTTATGACCAGCTGCTTTGCCTTAATTGATGATATTTGAATGTACCAGGAAATGAAATAAACCTAGCCAGAATAAATTAGAATGTAAAAAGTTCACTCTAAACATATAATAATGTCACAATCAGATATAGAAACCTTAAGATTTATTATTCATCAGATAAAAAGCTCATTTAAATGGCCTTTCTATATAATTTAGGTAGTCCATAATGAATCAGCAGTTCCAATAAATAAAGTGGAGAGTCTAACTGTACTACAAGTATGGCCAGCTTTAATTCTGCTGAGACATTTAATTACGTCTGGTGGTCTTCCTTGCCTCTTTCCTTGAAAAGGGTGTTCTTCAGACTTCCTTAACAGATATTTGCCAGTCATGGGAAAATAGAGGCCATTTTGAGCATATATGGATTTTACAAGACTTTATGGACAAAACCACTGTGGCTTTATAAGGTTCTTCTCTAGTCTTTATAGGAAAGAAGAGACATTTCTAGAAGCTGCTGCATCTTCTTATGAAATTACCTCTTGTGTTTTTCATTTTAAACTCAGTTTTTTCCAGAGTGCAAATATAAAAGGGAAGATGCTTTTTTTTTTTTTTAGTTAGTTTCCAGTGAGTTATCAAGTTTTAAAACAGTCTTTATAGGTCTGATTCCTCCACGTTCTGTTGTTCAAGCTCAGGGATGTCAGTGAAATTGCCTTGGATGAGCACAAGAACCTAGTTTAAAATTCTCTTATTTTACAGGTAAAGTTAGGCCAGTTTTTAAATGCAGCCATTTTTGTTTGTACTCATGTATTTACAAACCGCAAAAATAGACATTCTCTGTAGAAATGACCAGGAGATTATGGAGATTCAGGAGGTTTCAGGAGGAATGTGCTTCATGCACAGTGAATCTCATTTTCACTTTTTGCAAAGGCATTGCTTGATGATGCTTGTGTTTATTTTTTTTTTAATCCAGCTGTGGCTCTATGTACATAGAATCAGCACGAATTTACATATATTATTGAAGCATATCATGACCTTTTAAAAAAGTCTTCTGTCCAGAATACACAGGAACTAACTGCTAATGTATGATATGGCTTGCCCAAAAATCTGTTCCAATGTCTTGAAAATGCAGTAATTTTTAAGCTGCAGGTGAAATAAATCACATTGTGGTCCCGGGTGAAAGCAGTCCCACAGCATGGGAAAGAGCCTTAAAGGATCAGATTCTGTTATTTCACACACTTTTCCATAGAGAGACAGTTGCTGGTGCCCAATACAGATTTTATTGAGCAGGGAGATGTTACATTGCACAAGTAGCCAAATGAATTGAGAAACACAGGACACTGAGGGCGACAATATGTCCAGTTGGGAAGACGGATCCATTTTGCATAGCTGGTATTGGAGCAGAAGCTATATTTCCATATACACTGACAGATATGGGTATAAACTTACTCTGATGGGAAGTGAGGTATCCAAGTAGACTGTATCTAGTTATTAGCACCGCCTGGAGCCATATATGTGTCCAGTCACATGATGCAATTACAACTACCACACAGTTTTCTCTCCTATGTGTTAAGGACTCAAGGTAACTTTTATGTACTGTGTTTTACAAGTGGAAAAAATAAGACAGTTAAATATCTTCCAGTGTGTTGATATTCGTGGAGTTCTTGGTAATGTGTGTTCCTATCCTGGTTATCATCCTGTATGTATGCAAAACAAGGGCTATATTGTCCAAGAATATTTCTCCACATTTTGTACGTAGTGCAACGAATTTAATAACAAAGCCTGAAAAATCCAGGAGGTATAAGACCAAACAGCAGTTTCCTTTGAATGAATAATCACAGTTGGACCAATTATTTATCAGCTGACAGGCTGATAACAGCAAGCACATTAACAGCAAACAGAAGGAGCTAAATTGGCTAAAGATTTCTGAACAGGGATGTCTTTTCTGTTCTATACGTGCGAAAGGTTCCAAGAATAAAAAATGTGCCCTTTTCCAGCCTGGGGATTGCTGTAAGCCGGGCTGGTTGTAATTAATCTTTTGTATGATGACTTGTATTATTTCCCTGCTGTCAATGTGCTTAAGCTGTCCTCCTGTAAATTTCAGTGATGCAGTGAAAATTCATCATATTAGACTAAGGAGCACACCAGAAAAACCCTCTGGTGATATGTTTTGGACCTTACTCTCCTCTGCGATATGAATAAAGGGTGACATGCGTCTGGGAACCTTGCAATTCTGTAGCAAAACCTTGCTGTCCAGACTTCTGGCAGAACTGGAGAGGAAATGCTGAACCTACACATATACAGAGTCTGAAAAATTAGAGCATAGGTTCATTATGTTAATGAGAAGGAGAGAAAGGAGAAGGCACTCTGCATATCTGATTGTGTCAGTAACACCCTAGGCTCTGTGCTTTGGTATAACTTCTGCTGATGCTGCAAGCATAATTAGGCTGAGTTTACAATTTCCTGCTTGTTTTCATGTGGTCTGGGGACTAAACTAACAGTAAAAGGGAAAAAATGTAGAAGTATTTTATATTACACTTTATTAGTCTCTCTTGTGTCCTTGATTAAGTTGTTCTTTTTACTTGTCTCCCCTCACCATTAGGCCTGGTTTTCACTTGAGTCAACAAGAGATAAGACTATCAGCCTCTTGTAAAACTGCCTCCTTAGGTCCTTTAAACGTGCAGTATAAACTGTTTTTTCCTTTTCATTTTTAAGCACTTTAAAAAAACACAGTAAAAGTATTCAAAAAGCCTTTCTGGAGATTCTTCCTTTTTCATAGCCTATGTCTTCTGATTTCTAGAAACTGGAAAGATGGCACTGTGATCAAATTATGTGTTTAGTACTGGTGTTAACGAGGAGCTCTTGAGAAATATGAAGCAGGTGCTCTTGGAACTTACTGGCCTTCAAAAAGCCATACTACCTCCCTTCATTTCAAAATTAATAGCCTGCCAACGAAATTGTTAGCATTTCAGTCGATTTCTTAGAAGATGAATGCATGACTTGATTCTACTTTCCAGTATATGACAAAGACCCTGAAAAAAAGTGGAAGGGTTCCAACAGCAGCTTTTTAGTGCTGGGCATGTTAAACAGCATGTCACATAACTTCTCCAAAGGTATCAAGGTGCTCAGAACAAAGATGGACTTCTTTTCGTTAGGGGAAACTTTATTTTTTGAATTAAAATACCTTCACTTTCTACGTTACATTCCATTAGATATTGTTGACTTATGTCATTTACTGAAAGGCTGGGAACTAGTAGGCTTAGTTACTTTTATGCCCTGCAGTCCACCTACCTTAGTCTTTTTCTAGAATAATTTCTAACAGGAGGAGAAAAAAACTCACTGCTGCTTATTAGTTGGCAGTGTTTCTGCTTGAGAACAGTTACTTATTCTCATATGTGTTTTGTTCACTGCCAGGTCATGAAAGTCCTTCTGGAAGTCGTTGTGTGATTTCAGAGTTTATACGACCCCTTCAAATATCTGGAGACAAACCAGAACAATTGTCTGTCAAACCTACGTTCCTGTCCAAGTCAAGATCTGGTACCCCAAGATGCAGATTTGATTCAGACGTGAGTCTTTTTAAATTTGTTACTTAAAATGTATGTTATGGGGCCAAGACTTCTCTTCAACAGGGGACCAATGCAGGTTGATCCACCTGCTTTTAAAAAGTCAAGATATGAATGTTCTCATTTTCTGAGGCAACTTGGGAACATGACCAGTGGGAATTTAACTGATATTTTCAAAGAAGTCTCAGCTGATATGCTAGTTACACAGCATAAAAAATGTGTGTGTGAGAATCTCAAGCTTCTAGGAAAACCTCAACCTTCAATGATGCATTTGGACTGTTGTACTGCTTCTGTGCATGAGGTGTAAGTCAGCATTTCTGTCTGTGTTTGTTTTGCTGTATGTCTATGTTATGCAAGTTTATTATTCTTGTATTATATCTACCCAAAGGTGTGACTTTGATACAGCCTGGGCAAATGGAAGAGAAGTTCCATGCAGTGCCCTGTCCAGGCAGGTATGCCCTGACAGAGAAGTAGCTCATTCTGCAGGACTTGCTCTTTGCCTGGTTTTCATGACATGTGAATCTTCTCACTATAACTGGGTTGATACCACCTGCTAACAGCAGCATCCAGCACACTCTCCTAAACTGATATTGAGCCTGTAACCTCGAAGTGAAAGTCACAGAATCATAGAATCATTATGGTTGGAAGAGACCTCAAAGATCATCAAGTCCAACCGTACACCTGATGCCACCCTGTCCACTAAACCATGTCTTGAAGTACCACATCTAAATGTTTTTTGAACATCTCCAGGGATGATGACTCCACCACCTCCCTAGGGAGCCTGTTCCAATGCCTAACGACTCTAACAGTGAAGAAGTTCTTTCTAATGTCCAGCCTGAACCTCCCCTGGCGCAACTTGAGACCGTTTCATGGAATGTTGTCACTAAACTCTTCCACCATTCAACTTTACAGCTTGTATTTAATTGTACTTTTGAAAGGTTCTGTTCCTCTCATAGAAAGGATTTCTGGTTTTCAGTAGAATTCTAGTAGAAAGCCAAAGGGAAGCTCCAAAGAGCTTTACAAGGGTGCCATAGCAAGTCGGTTGTTCTTCACTATGAGGGTGGTGAGGCACTGGAACAGGTTGCCCAGAGAAGCTGTGGATGCCCCATCCCTGCAAGTGTTCAAGGCCAGTTTGGATTGGACTTTGAGCAACCTGGTCTGGTGGGAGGTGTCCCTGTCCATGGCAGGGGGGTTGGAACTAGATGATTTTAAGGTCCCTTCCAACCCAAACCATTCTATGATATTTGAGACAAATGTTAAATACAAGGAGGTATAGGACACACTTGGAAAACTTTATAGAAGGGTATTATTTTCTACTAAATACTGTAAGCCTGTTTTATGAGGAAATGATTTTCAGATTTTACCTCTCACCTTATAGTCCTGAATCCCATTCTTAATCTTTACAGAAGTAAATAAATTGAAACTGTGTGCATATTTTCTATCTATTTTATGTTCATTGTTCAACTCTACCTGTGGAAGTTGATAGAATCAAAATGTTTTTAAATGGATCACAAGCCTGAGTATGATGTAGGTTATTCAACAAAACATTAGATTCTTGTATAGGAGGAATTCCATGGGCATATCTAAGGACTATCCACAAATAAATATACATTTATGTTTATGTGTAGCAGCTTTACTGGAAAGTGGGAACATTCACTGCTTCTTGAAGAGGCCACAGAAAAAGCAGCCCAAAGTAGTCAAACCAGAAAAAGCAGCTTAGCAATGAGACTTAGGGAAGCAGAACTAACAGCAAGGAACAGAAGAAGTGCATGTCAAATTTAATTCCCTTTTTCTATTATTTTTGAGTTATCTCTCACTGAGGATGTCAAGCCCTCTTTTGCAGAGTTGTTCGTTGCGTACCTTCTAGAGTGTAATTATGTGATACATACTTACATTATGCAAGCTCACAGAAATTAATCTCCATTCTTTTTTAGAGGTATCCAGACCCAGGGGTAGAGTCTATGAATAAAATAAAAAAATGGAGCATAATGCTGTGAAGTCTGAAATAAAAAAAAAATTACACCTTGCAAAAATATATCTGCAACTTCCCTGATTGTTACTGGTCACAAAGTCTTCTAGAACCAGCATTACTGGGTTAGTTATGAGCTTTGTGACATGCCCATAAAAATTTACCTGTTAGCTGACTATTACGATCCTCCTCACTGGAAGTGGAATGTTGGCGGAATAGTGTGTGTTGTGCTAACCCAACAAGCTAACCCACCTCTTAAGAGTTAATTCAGAGGAAAAGTGACATGACTCACTATTTCTCTGGTGCACTTTTGTTCAATACCGGGAACAAAGCAGGGACCAGTTTAGGCCTGAAAGTTGCAGTTCAATATTTACTCTGTCCAGACTGTAAAATTTTGGTCAATTTTTGGACGACTTTTTTTTTGATCCCACTGTTAAATCTAGTATTTCTGCTTTAATTAAAGTTCTCTAAAGCTCAGATGAAAAATTGTTCATTTTTCCTGAAAGGGTTCACAGCATACCGTAAAATAAGTGGAGGAAAGAAGTGCATCTCTCACTTTAAAAACTCTACTAGGCTCGAAGCATAACAGAAAGAATTACTATTTTGTCAGTGAGATACCTAGCACAGAGCTAAAATAGGTGGAGTCTGTGTTGATTCAGCACCACAGTTTAATCTCCAGGTTTTTTAGACCAGATTTATAATGGAATAAATCTATGGCTTTGAAGAATTTAATTAAATATGATGGTAAATTCAGAGGAAATAGCTTATTTCTTTCAGTTAGTGGAGTCTCTTTCAGACTGGGGTTCAACAGATGCTGCTGCTGTGGATTGGATTGGCAAGGGGGTACATTTTATGTGATACTCATTGTTTCCAAGTGTTTGGAAGTTGACACTTGCTCCAGCTCTAAACCCACCACATTTGTTTTACGTACTTAGTCACTGGTATCAGGTTTCTACTGTTGTTTTCTGATTAAAATATCAGGGTATCACCCTAGGTTGTCTGTGTGATAATATAGCTGTACTATGCCCAGAAACACTAGGCATATCACTTAAAACAGGTCATCTTGGAGTAACTGTGTTTACTATACTTTGATGAAGACTGTAGTAAAAGCTTGGTCAGGAAGGTGAGGTGGTCAGTGACTCTGGTATGGTTAAGTCACACCTGTTTCTTTAGCCAGCAACATGAAAGGGAGTGATGTGGTCAAAGTCACATCTCCTTCAGCCATCTCCACTGACCAAATGATAAAGCACCAATCTACTGGTTTTTTGTCAATTTTGCAAGCTTTTGAGGAAAACCAACATCCAGTCTCAGACAGGTGATCTGAATCTCTAGGAAGATGTGAAGAAATTAGCTCAATTTCTTTGCCCTGTTAGAATCTGAATTGCAGTTCCTTTTTAGCCTAAGCCCTTCTAAGCAAAATTAACCAGTTCAGTTCCATGTTAGGATTTATTTTTTTTAAATGATACATGTTTGCTGTCTGATTTATATTGCCTGAAGGGAAAACAGTGCATGTATTTTTTGAAATCACATTGTCTTCTTTTTTTTTTCTCTACAGATGGATAATGATCAAAATTCCAATACCTCAAAACAGAGATATTCTGGGAAAGTCCATCTTTGCATTGCCCGTTATAGGTAAAAAAATCCAGCTCATTACGTATATAATACATATTTGTAATATTCAACATTTCATTTTGCTTCTATTCATGCACTGAATTATTACTTGGAACCAATATTATGGATAGTAAACCCCTTTCCTGTTTGCACTGGCTGCAAAATAGTGCCATTTCCGAATGCTTTGTCAGAGAAATTTTAACATAGCATGGGTCTTTTACCTACCACTGTATTTCTAGCCTTCAATGTCTATATGAGATGAGAATGTGTACCTTCTACTTTATAGAGAATGTTTCAATCTGTTCTTATAAATTGCTTTTTCATCAATGCAAGAAAGATTTAAAAGTTCCTCACATTTTTGCTTTGCACATTAAAATTTCAGATATAGAGTACTGTCACAATAAAAATTTCTGTCACTAACAATTTCTTTCAGGATGGATATGGATTTAAATACTTTATACAAAGTTTTTGTCTATGAGTAGCTTGTTTTAGGTGTAACTCACTGGTTTTGTCTTTATTTAAGTTGTCTCTGTTGAAGTGAATAAACTTGTGTAAAAGACTGCCTTAGAAAACAATCGGAATATGTGGACTGGAAAAGACGCAAACAACTGAGTTTGCTTTAATTCACTTTAAAAAATAAGGAACATTTTGGCAAGTGTATTCAGAGAGGTCTAAGTGAAAAATGTGTAAGTAAATTCTGCAGAAGAGGATGTGGTTTTAAGCGTATAGTGCTTAAGCGAGTAGGTTGCGTTTGATGACAGGCTGTTGGTGATACAGTTAGAGTTCACAACAACAAACTGACCTGGACTCCACTCAGAATATATGTTTCAGAAGGGAAGCAAAAAGATTGAACTGAGGAATTACCTTCCTGTGCAGCCTTAGAACTGTATACCGTTTTCTGATTAGTATTCTGTTGTGTGGGGGTTGTAAGTGAACACACGTTTTCCATCTGTACGCCATTGCAGTTACAACCCTTTTGATGGACCAAATGAAAATCCAGAAGCAGAGCTCCCCCTTACGGCAGGAAAGTACCTTTATGTATATGGAGATATGGATGAAGACGGCTTTTATGAAGGTATTTTTTAAAAATCTGTGAATTCGTGCTAATTCATGCAGATTGAAATCAGTTCATCTGTCAAACATGCTCCCAATTCTTTCCTCTGTCTACTACCAAATCAGTTGTTAAAATTACCCCTATCATCATTGTGTTAATTAAAAGAGTTTCTGAACCAGCAAAGCCACTCCTTGCAGGCAAAGCTAATTATAAGATATTTTATGTTGTCAGCTTTTCCTCCTGGCAAGATTTATGTTGACAAGAAAGCTTACCGGCAGTTCTGGTTTTTGCTTCACTGAGCCTTTACATTCTCAAACTGTGAATGTTGTTTATGTACAATTTTCACTTATATCTTCTTCCTTATCTTGTCCACTTGCAATGCATTGACACGCAAGAGGTGTTCTCCTTCAAGGATTTTAATGGCATTGTTCTTTCTCACCAGGGGAACTTCTAGATGGACAAAGAGGACTAGTCCCTTCAAATTTTGTGGATTTTGTTCAAGACAATGAGACCCGGTTATCAAGCACATTAAGCAGTGAACAAGATCAGAATTTTATCAACCATTCGGGTCCTACTTTGGAAGGAGATCTCTTGGAGATAAGTCCACCAAGTCACATAGACTCTAGTGTAATCAGCAATGGCGCAGGGACTCTGGATGTGAACATTGATGAAATTGGAGAAGACATTGTGCCTTATCCTAGAAAAATCACCCTTATTAAACAACTAGCCAAAAGTGTCATTGTGGGCTGGGAGCCACCGGTAGTGCCACCCAGATGGGGAACCATTAGCAGCTACAATGTTCTGGTTGACAAAGAAGTACGGATGAACATAGCCTTGGGAAGCAGAACGAAAGCTCTTATAGAAAAACTTAACATTTCTACTTGTACATACCGAATATCAATTCAGAGCATTACAAACAAGGGTAACTCAGATGAACTGCAGTGCACTTTGTTAGTTGGGAAGGATGTCATAGTAGCCCCCTCTAATCTTAAAGTGGACAATATAACCCAGATTTCTGCTGAGCTGTCCTGGCTCCCTACAAATAGTAATTACAGTCATGTGATCTTTCTTAATGAAGAAGAATTTGACATTGTCAAGGCTGCTAGCTACAAGTACCATTTTTTTAATTTGAAGCCCAATATGGCCTACAAGGTGAAGGTCATGGCAAAGCCCCATCAAATGCCCTGGCAGCTTCCCCTGGAACAACGAGAAAAAAAGGAAGCCTTTGTGGAATTTTCTACATTGCCAGCAGGTTTGAAATTTTTCTCCCTACCCCAAAACTCTCCAGTTAAGTTTGTCTGAAAATACTAGATAAATTAATCTAACCTTTAGCTTTATGCTGTCACTTTCATAAGCAGACTGGGGATTATTAGATTGCTTTATGGTATCTAGAATTAATTCCTGTCCTGTGTTATTCTCTTCCTTGTTTCCTGGGTAAGAACTGAAGCATTTGTGGGAGATAAACTAGGGAAAGCCGTACTCATCATCATCATCACAGATCACATGCTAGGTGTTTTATCAGATTAATATCCATTTGTATTTAATTTGTCTAGTTATAGTATTTCTAGTAGTAATTTACTTTTGTTTGTGTGAACAATGCTGAGGAAAAAACAGTTATTAATTCTGACATGTAATTTGTATGTTATTCTGTGTCTTAAAGCACTTTTTACAGGGATGATCCAACCCTTAATGAAAAACAACACAGACATCTTAGAGGACCACACAGTCATTTAGGGGTTATAAATGCATTTTGGTTGCGAAGTTGTAATCACATTGTACAGTTTGAATTTGTAAAAAGAACAAATTGGCTGTGTTTTGGAAAGTCTGAGGTTTTTTCCCACCTTGCTTTTACGTTAGGAATGTTGATAAATGTTACCAGTCATTTCCCAGTATTTAAGAACAGTGAAGTAATGTTGAAATCTAGAGCAAAAATAATGTAGTGCGTTTAAAGGATAATATCATAATTTTGGGGGTGTATGGCAGTACCTGAAAAATACGAACGTCTCTCCTTATAGATCCATTTAACCAAGGTCATCTAAACAAGAACAAGTAGAAGACTCTTAGATATTCAGACTCTCAGAGCACTGAATGCCTCTGTAGCAGGAACAGTCAAATACAAGTGACTCCTGGCGAGTGAAATTTCAATAGCATGTACTGTGCTTTGGCTTAATTGACTCCCTGGTGGGATTTGACTCTAGCAAATGGACAGGAATTATTTCTGGTCTTTTCCTTGGCTTGCATGACTTACATGTAAGGAGACATGCAGGACAGTAATGCTGGCTGAGTAGAGAGGGAGTTAAGCTTATACGTTTACTGTTTTGTTGATTTATAGTTTCAGTAAAAATGTCCTCAGCTCAGGCATTTACTCTTTTGTCTTAACTCATTTCAGTGAGATAAGTGGTAGGAGGAGGGGCATTTTAAACTTTGTATATGTTCTGTGGGAGTCGGGAGATAATGCCTAGATGGTGGCTTGAACTTGCTCGATATGTTGACTTCTTTGTTATTTGGGAAAGTCCTTTTGAGTGAGGTTTTTTCAGGCCAAAGACTTAACATGCTGTATCTCCCTCTAGTTGCTGAAGTATGCTAAAGCAATAAACGAGCTGTTCTCTGTTGAGGAGCTAAAATGCAGCGAAGCCTCTGCTTTTAGATCCAGAGATCCCAGAATCTTCCACACGACTTCATTTCACAGAGAGCATTTTTACAAAAGCACGTCAACTTTTCACTATTAAATAGCAAAATAAAATAGCAACTGTTGAAGTGATTAGAGGCTGATGCTTGTATTTCAAAAGTCATTGAAACAAAGGGAAAAGGATGCCGATGAAATGAGAGTCACCAATGGGAGTTACCATCACTGTGTCACATTTTTGTCTTGCAAATACTACTGACTTCTAGTAATCACATCTCTCTCCTTCCAAACTACAGTTAAAAGAAAGAAGTTTAAAAAAATAGAGAAAGTGTCTTCAATGTGACTAATACTGTTTTTTCTCTCAGACTCTGGATTATTTTTCCACCTGAAATACCTTCAAGTTGATTTACATTGTAAGGGACATGTTTCAAAGATGATTATAGAGTATGCTGAGCGAGCAATACAGATATTCTGTGTGAGGGGAATCTTTTGTTGTTGTGCTTCTTTAGAAGATGCATGGGGATGAGTGATGTCGCATAAACCTTTAGTTGTAGGGAATGTCAGGTTTAGCAGACAGTGCAGCGTGAACTGCAACATAACTGGCCACAGGCAGCTGCTAATGTTTGTTCTGACATTTTTCTAAGGGCTTCAGAAATATTTACAAATGAATGCATGTGCTTGCTTTATTTCAAGCTGAGAAGCTCTGCTCTTTACTAGTGGGTTCAGTGATACCCTCATAGAAAAGGATACCATCAGCCACTTACACCAAAAAGGGTGTGGGGATCAGTGAATATTTTTAAATTTTCACTGTATCATTCTCAGGGGTTTTTTAGGAATACATTAAGCAAAAATGAACTTGAGGTAACTGCTCACGTTTCAAAGCTGGAGAGAGCAGTTGCATGAAAAGTACAGGACAATTAGAGGTCACCTTTTCATTTTTTCTCTTTGCAGAGCTATATCATCTTTTGCATGATTTATACTTCAAAAAACCACATTGCTTCCTATTGAACCAAAGCTGAGTGACAGCTCTTTAGTTGCTGAGCAATTGAACTCTTCTTGATTCACCAAAGCATTAGGATTGCTTAAGTTAAAATAGAAATAGTTCTCTTTCGGGTGCTCAGATCTAAAAATAGACATAAGTATTGACAGGATCGGGACCAATGGGACTGTTGTGGTTTTTGAGCTAATTTAGGTAATAAATTCATGAAGACCAAACTGTAGCAGAATTCTGAAACAAACATTTATGTTGATCGTTAAGACCATCAAAAGTCATCAAGAGTAATTTTCCATTTAATGATGGTGAGAAGTAGAAACAATACTAAGCCTTAGGCATTACAGTTTATTAAACCTATCTCTGCTGCAGCCTGTGAAGGTCAAGATAGACTCCCTGGGGATTGTTTGGCTTTGGGAGAATGAAAGGAAGGTGACTTCTCCTGCAGGAGCAGATTAATGTCATTGTCATTGACAGGATACTGGACTAGATCAGATGCATTCTTTCTTGTAAACTGAAGAGCTTTGCTGGATTGGGAGTGCTGCCTATCAATAAAATAGGATGGTCAGGGAAGCTGAAATTCAATCCTAAATCAAAATCTACGTCTTGACCAAGAATAGCGTTGGGTCAGTTTACATACTTTGGCCTTGCAAGTTAAAAATACATTATAGATGCAAGGGATCGTATAGGCAAAAATTTCATGTTGTGCCTGTACTGTCCTGAACATGACCATAATTTTATTTCCATGCCCACTAGAGGATGAAATTCCATGACAGCAAACTACTGAAATGCATTGATGGTTTGCCAGCGTATCTGGAGGCTGAGGCTTATGTGATATTTACACTTGTATCGTGATCTGTTTGGTAGCAATGAATGCACACAGTTGAAATATTTGTAGCTTTTTTGGTAGATGAACAGAAATTAGTTGTGTTTAGTTCAGTGGCAAAAGCAAACTCACAGCAACCAAGGTTTGTATTCTCCCAACTATTACACAAAGAATGCTACAGCCAAACCCTGCTTCTGAAATGTTTTAGCATGAAACACTTCTCAGGGTTAAATTAACACAACAGGATGCCTGAAATATTAATCAACTAATAATCTCTATGATACTTTTACTTTTGAATTTACTTTGATTTTCTGTCCAAAGTGGAGCTATTTATAGTAGGGTAATAATGTCTTTTAATTAAGGATGTATTTGGTGTGCTATTACACTAACGTTCTGTAAATGCCTTAAAAAGTTAGTAGGTGTATTTTTTTCTTCAGTGCAAAGACTTTTAGTCCAGTTGTCCTTTAAACCAGCGTACTGCTGATTGAAAAGGTTAAAGTTTTGGCTTGCAGTCCACATTGCGCCTTAGTGTCAACGTGCTTATGGCCCATAAATTGTGACTTGGAGCCACTGATGGTCCAGAGAGACAGAATTTGAAAGCAATTTCTTAGTACATAGTGTGCATTCAGTGCAGAGATATATACCAAAAAATCACTTGCTGTCACCTGCAGCAGTTTTCCACTAACAGTGCCACTCCTGGGCCTTTTTCTCCCTGCATTTTTCTGTTAACATCTTCTGCATTCAGAGTAAGTAGCAGTTATGCGGCCTGGAGGGATAAAAATAGGTCCAGAGCAAGTTGCAAGACCATCTTGCAAAGAAATATAACTTAGTTAATGACTGTAAGATGAGGGTCAGTTCCTGCCTCCAGGACCTGCTGAGCCTATGCTTCTGTTTTTACATAATAACTGCAGTAAAGATATTTTGTCATCCTAAAAAAAAAAAAAAAAAAAAAAAAAGAGAAAAAAGAAAAAAAAAGTCCTTTGAAATCTGTAGTTTCCAACTTGCAGGTACATCTGTCGATGTACATACTTCTCATCTGAGGCTCAGTGGTGACTAGTCTTGTCTTTCTTAGGTCCTCCAGCTCCACCTCAAGATGTTACTGTACGGGCTGGGTCCACCCCAGCAACCATACAGGTGTCCTGGAAACCACCAACTCTGACAGCAACAGGGACCTCCCATGGTGCCAATGTCACAGGCTATGGTGTTTATGCAAAGGGTCAACGGGTGAGTTCTCCTTCCAGCATTACGGTGACCATCTACATTAGGTGAATTTCAACTGACGGATAAAGGCAACATTAGACATGTGACAGTGCTTGAATGTGTGCAGGGTTTTCTCAACTTTCAGTAGAACCTACTCTTTTGTTTGTGCATAACTTGCTCATTAGCTTCCTTTCTATAAGCACTTAAGCTTTTGGACAAATGGGTTAAAAGGATTAAAAACAACTAGTGCTAATTGGTGCAGAGTCCTAATGTGGACTCTTGCAGCCCACTCTGTGTTGGCAATAATTCACTCCATGTTAAGACTTTGAAGGTTGTACTTTGGTGGGGTTGAGGGGAGGGAAAAAGGTGTCTTCATACTAACAAGTTGCTTGTTTGTGTGTTCAGGTGGCAGAGGTGATCTTTCCAACAGCAGAGAACACATTGGTGGAACTAATGAGACTAAGGAGTTTGGAAGCAAAGGAAGTTACTGTTCGAACACTCTCTGTACAAGGGGAATCAGTGGACTCTTCTGTTGCTGCCATTCCATCTGACCTACTGGTGCCTCCAACCCCTCACCCCAGAACTGCTCCCAAATCTAAGCCATTAGCAAGTGCCGGAGCCCCAGAAACCAAAGAAGAACATTTAGATCCACATTTAAAAATGGATGAGTCATGGGAGCAGACTCGTTCGGCATCCCCTGTTCATGGACACATGCTTGAGCCACCTGCTCCTAACTTTCACAGCCCGCTTCAGGGGAGGAGGTCTCCATCACCTAATCGAATACTCCCTCAACCTCAAGGCACACCTGTCCCAAATACTGTCGCAAAAGCCATGGCAAGAGAAGCTGCACAACGAGTTGCAGAGAGCAATAGGGTAAAGGCAAATTTTTTCTTAAGGTGTTTTTGGGCTGGCTTTATTCATTGTGGTGCTTTCCATCAAAGAATTTTTTCATCATGTGCTTTAAAGAGCAGCTAATCATTCCTAAACCCTGAAGGTCTGTAGTTTGAGAAGAAGCAGTATACTAAAATTTTATGCCAACTTCCACAAATATGTTTGTAACCATAAAGAGCATTGATCAGCCTTTGATCAGCATAGAAACCCCATAACATCACTAGAAATGTTGTCTCCAAAAATGCAGAGC